GGTAGGGAGGGACAGAGTGTAAGAGAGTATACATGGGTTTGTAGAGCGAGTCCCACACACACACTCCACCATACACAGGCACCCACACACCCCCTCGCACTGTCATACATGCAGACCCCCAGACCCACCCCACTTCACACATCCCAGCCACTCTTCCTCCCACACACAACCCCCCATAAACCCCATATTCACCATACGGCACATATCCACACACCCACATGCTCCCTCATCCCACCTCCACCTATCCACCACCCCCACAAACCCCCCACATGCACCTACACCCTCCTTCATACCCCACATAACCCACACCCCATAGCTCCCCACAAATCTATACCCCACCAACAATACACAAGAATAAGACTTCATTTTAAGCTACAGTGCAATTACCTCTATGTACACTACACGAACGCATATAAATCAGGACAAAAGTATTTTTTAAAATCAAATTAATGAATGTTGTAGATGCTTGCTTTTTAGAATATAAATTTGGTATTTTTCTGGTTCCAAGATGGTAAAACCCCTCGCTGAAAGGAGTACTTCTGGGGGCCAGGGGAGGGACTTCTGGTGACAAAGGCCAGGGGTTGGGGGAGGGACTTCCAGTCACAAGATGGCAACCAGGGAGCAGGGAACCTCTCAAGGGGTGTGGCCACCTCTGCGGCTCTTGACAGCTTGCCAAAACTCGGTAAGCAGCCCTCCACCCAAAATAACTGCCCACCCCGGGTTAGACTAACCTGCAAAGATTAAATGGATTCAGGCTTGGGCTTTTTGAATGTCTGGTGCAGTTTCACCAGGCTAAAACCCTGCAAATGCTAGTCCTAGAGAACCAGAAGGTGCTCTTCTGGTGGCAAAGGCATTCACCAACAACATGGGGGTCTTGGATGCAGGCTGTCCTCCATTCGCTTCTGTGCAGATGACTAAGGAGGATGACCCTGAGGCATTTCTGGAGGCTTTGAGAAAGTTGCCATAGCCATCTAATAGGAGAGACACATGTTGGCACTGTGTCTAGGAATGTTATTGGTAGGGAAAGCCCAAGCCAGCTATTGGGCTATCCCCAGGGAGGAAGCTGCCAAGTACGATAAAGAGAAGGAGCTGCAACTACTCTGTTTTAAAATAAATATAGAGCGTACCTGTTTATCTGATAGTTGTTATACTTTTTTTCTACCATACTTCAAAGGATTAACTCTTGCTGGAGCTCACTACAGATAGAAGACAGGGTAGCTTTGTACCCTATGGACCACCCAAAGTAGATATAGTCCAGGGGTGGGCAAAATACGGCCCTATAGTCCAGGGGTGGTCAAAATATGGCCCACAGGCTGCATCCAGCCTGCCAGGCCATTCTGTCCAGCCCGCAGATCTCCTACAATTTTTTAAAAAATTAGTATTTATTTGCCTCTGGCTCCAGTCAAAAGTGATAGAAGCCAGGGGCAGTGGGACCCAGGGGAAGCCAGAGCAGGCCCCTGGAAGGGCCTGCCCTGCCCCACCCCCACAGCCTGAGGGACCATGGGGCTGTTCCTACCCATGCGGGAGCAGGAACCTCAGGTAAGAGGGGGCTGGGGGGCACGCTGGTCCCCGCCTGGCCACCCTGCTCTGGGCCCCGCCGGCACTGGCCCCGAGGTACTGCCTGGATGTTGCTGGCTCCCAACCCCCTTGTCCAGCCCTGGGGATGCCTGGGGCTTCTGGGGGCAGCATGACCCGGCAGGGATGTGGCACAGGGAAGTGGCATGAAACTTTCATGCCATGCCTGAGGCTTGGGGCAGCAACAGACCAGCTGCCCCCCCGCCCCACTGGAGGTTCCAATGGGTGCTGCCACCCCGGGGGAAGGCCCAGGTCTCCCCGCCCCACGGGCCCAGCGGCAGCTCACTCCCTGGCCCCAGGAGTGGGAGCGGATCTGCTGCCACTTTTCGGTTCCAGAAGTTCCTGTGGCCACGAGGAGCCCAGGGGCCCTGGGGAAACTTCTGGCCAGCCCTGGGGGCAGCACGGATCACCTCCTGAGGCTGCTAGGGGTGACACGACCTGGCAGGGTCCCGGCCCAGGGCATAGGAAGCTTGGAGAGGCCACAGGAGCTTTCAGAAGAAAACAGCAGCCATGGCTCCGCTCCGGCTCCTAGCACAGCCTCCCACCTGTCCTGGGGTTGGTGGGGCAAGCTGCTGCCAAGCCACAGGGCCCCTGTGGGGTGGGGGGAGCCAGGCCTTCCCCCCAGGGTGGCAGCACCCCCTGGGGATGCCCATAGTGGGGGCAGCCAGGCCATCGTCATCCCAAGGCGCAGGATGCAACTTCCATGCCGCATCCCTGAACTTCCCACATCCCTGGCCATGTGCCGCCCCCAGTGGCCTCAGGTGGCCCCCTGCACTTCCCCCACGGCTGGCCAGCTTTCCCGGGGCCCCTGGCCTCCTGGAAGCTACAGGAGCTTCTAAAGCAGTAAAGCAGCCACAGCTCTGCTCTGGCTTCTGGCACAGCCTCCCTACCTGTCCCAGGGCTGGGGGGCAAGCTGCTGTCAGGTCTCCAGGCCCCTGTGGGGTGGAGGGAGGCAGTCAAGCCTTTGTTACCCCAAGCTTCAGGAGCACAATGGAAGTTCTGCACCACCTCCTTGGGCTTCCCACGTCCCCACCGACCCATGCCACCCCCAGTGGCTCCAGGAGCCCCCTGCCCTGCCCCCCAAGCCTGACAGGCCCTTCCCTAGCAGTCCCCAGCCTCCTGGTGGCAGCAGGAGCCGCCAGAGCGCAAACATGGCCATGAGGCTTGGGGCAGCAAGTGCCCAGCTGGCTCCCCCCTTTGCAACCCTTCCTGCAAACCCCACAGCCCCACCCTCCTCCAGACACAATCACACATCCCACAAATACCACACACACATACATAGCTCCCCACAAACCCCACATCCACCCACCCACCCATACCACTCAACACTGCTGCACACCCCACACACTGTACAAGAGTAAGACTACATTTTGAGCTATTATGCAATCACTTCTACATATAAAGCACAAATACACAGGTATCAGGACAAAAATATATATTTTTAATTGAATTAAAATATAATATTATGGATATTTGATTTTTAGTACATAATTTGTTTTTTTTCCCTGTTCTAAGATAGCAAACCCCCTCTTCTCCGAAGGAGTTCTTCCAGGGGCAAGGGGAGGGACTTTTGGTAGCAAGGGTCAGAGGTCAGGGGTGGGACTTCCAGTCCCAAGATGGCAACCTGGGGGCAGGGCACCTGTCAAGGGGTGGGGTTACCCATGTGGCCCTCAACAGCTTGCCAAAACTTGCTAAGCGGCCCTCCGCCCAAAATAACTGCCTGCCCCTGATTTAGATCAATTACTCTCAACCCAGGTGCCTTGAGATCCTTTTCAAGG